CCTTTATTTCACTATGCTAGAAAAATTTAGGGAGAATTTCTGTGGCCTAAACATCAGGAGATGGCATTTTGTCGGTTAGAATGACATCTGCCATTGACGACTCCGTCAGCTAAGTTTTCTAAGATCGTTTGCGATTGTCCTATGCATATTGGCTACTGTATGTTCGTTATATGCATATGCGAGCTCTAGATCATTTGCATATAAAAACTTTTTAGCTGAGACTGATATGGACGATAAGTTGTGAATATATATGAGGAATAAAAGGTGACCTAGGTTAGTGCCCCGAAGTGCTCCACTAGTAAAAGGGGATGGCTGTGAGACCGCCTTTCAGTTCTGCACCACTTGACATCGGTTTTGGAAAACTCGAGAAGGGGGCCTGATTCCATGACTTATTACCATTATTAGCAGGCTTTTATGGGGAACTTTGTCAAAAGCCCTGTGTTAGATCGAAGTATATTGTAGCTACGGTGCTTATATCAGCTCTATTGTCGGAAACGAATTACAGAAAAGTGAAATGGCAGGACTGACCTAATTTTTTGGGTGAGGCCAGGCTGAGAGAGGGTATAAGATTAGCGTTTATCAGATGGTCAAGCAATTGGTTGTTACTTTTTATTTCTAGGACCCTAGCTACTTCCGTTATTCTGTAAACACTGCGAGAGCTTGGGGTATCAGCTCTGCTACTGTTTCTAATGGCAGGTGCAATACTAGTGTAGTCTCAAGCGTCTGCAAAGATTGCACTTAAATGGAGAAGAGCGAAGAATATAGAACGGAGTATTGAAGCATATAACTTATGCTTCAGTATGCATAGTGGAATTTTGTCCGTCCCATAGGAGGTGGCGCTGGAAAGTTACTTGATAACACTTTTGACAGTTTCTTCACCAAAACAGATCTCACTAACAGTGTGTTCGGTCATCTCGGTCGGTTGAGGGATCGGTTCTTCTTTGACTGTATAATTATTTGAGAAATACTTGTTAAATACATTTGCTATGTGGTTGTTGTTTGCCATTAATTGTCCTGATTCATCGACCATGCTTTTGAGTCCTGACTTTCCGAACCCAGGACAGTAAGGGGAAGGCTTTAATACAGCCAACGCTCTAGCTACCTGAGCTACGAGGCCCCACTTGGAAACGCGATATTATTATCACCAGTGACAGCTAACCCTTCTCTACGCATAACGACAACATAACATTTGAAAGTGATCACCAAGCAATCACATAAGTGCTCCGCTCAAACATAAATAACAGTTGGTTTTAATAACAGTCGCATAAATCAAAAAAACGTGACAAGGACACCATGAACAACTATATTAGGTCATTAGACTGGACTCGATAACTGTCAAGAACATCCCCATGGAAGCAGTTAACCTATTGTGCTCTATACCATCTATCCTTTGATTCATATTAATAGACGAGAGACACCGTATAAGAGACCCCAAATTCTAAAATGCTAGTATGCTGCTTCGCCAGTTGCACTAAGCAAGTCGCTTTCTTCAATATGCCTCATCAGTTCCGCTTTCATTACTCTTCCCATTAGTCTGCAATAAACCCTTTTGAGACTCTCATGTCTGAAGGTATTTGGTTAAGTTTTGTCACCACTTACTGTATAGAACTTATTTTGGTTAGCCTCTAGTCAGTAGGCAAAGCCCCTGCCACTTAATGATCTAGCAAACTGCGAAGATTGTCGTTGCATATAGGCGATCGGTGAGTACGACTCTATCACGGTATAAACCCGATCGCAGCCGACAGGACGACGAGCCTGTGACCCAGTGGTTAAAGGCGTTGGACTTCCAACCCGTAAATCACGAGATCGAGCCCCAGGTGCTCCACACCTGGGGTTTGGATATGGCTAGCTAACGACGGCCAATAGGCCAGAAATGGCCATTTCAGTCTCCCATGTCTTTGTCCGTTATGCTATTTTGCCTTTACTACGCGCTGCTATGTGGCTAACGGCGGGACTGAAGAGAGCCCTAAGGCATAACGGGACAAGTGAGTTCCGTAGCTAGATCGAAGTGCGTCCCTCCACCATTTAGTTTACGTGGTTCCTCATTAATGTGAAACGCTGCTGACGACACCAACCTAGAAATCTTTTCTCAAGGATTGCGAAGCAACAGAATATGCAGTCTCTTATCTAGCCTAAATGCAACAAACCTAAAAATTCCCGTTGAATTGCATAACTGATGCCTTCTTTGCTTGCTAACTGCGAGGCCTTCGTGATGCGATGACGATTATCGGTTTCGGATAAGAAATCCTCATCCAACCTCGCTTGCGCTGAAACACTGTCGTAACGACCGTGTCTAAGTACCCATCTTTAACGCGGCATATTTCGCGATCAATGTACGCATTAACACTCATTATTTGCTTAATAAAGTCTCTAGCTGGGGCATCGCAAAGGACAGTGGCCAAACGAGATCGCAGTATTCCGGTAGTCACATCTACATCCAAACCACCCTTAGCCAATGAAGACAAATCATCAGTCAGTGGTATGCAGAACGCCTGGACGCCTGAGGACTTGCCTATTCCACAATATATTCTTTCAACGAAAAATGAACTTACAACGACGCCTTCATTACAGATGAGTCAGGCAAAGCAGAAATTTTAAATTCTTTCTTTGCCAAACATTTCACCATTGAAACTGACCCAATCCCTTTAATTCCTCTGTTGTCTGATGCTTCTCTTAGCATCATCAATTTTTCTCCTGAATGTATTCAAAAACTGATAAGCCATCTTCCTTATTCTCACTCAGTAGGTACGGCCAATATCCCAAACTCTTTTATAAAACAGCTAAGAGATTTTCCACCTCTGCTTAGCAAAATCTTTTCAGTATTTCTCGTAAATTGCTTCTTCCCTGACTATTGGAAAACTTCTATTATTATTCCCGTATTTAAGTCTGGCTGTCGTTCGGACGTAGAGAACTATCGAGGTGTCCATAAAACACCCTCTCTCGCCAAAATCTTTGAAAAAATTATCGCCTAAAAAATTACCGACTTTTGCATAGCCTATCAAGTTATTAGCCCTTCCCAGCCATCACAGAAAGGTGGCGAATCAGTATCAGATGCACAACTATCTGACGACGACGACGACGACGTCTATGATATGTTCGACTGGTACCTTTCTCTCAATAACATTTCTTTGACATCACGGTGTTTTCGATATCGGCTCCATGCACAATAATACATAATAGAAAAAACAAACAATTGTTAAAGAATGGCGTCAGAAAATCAACAAAGAATTCGGACAAGCAGATCAGGGAATGGAGGCGGGACTGCGCGCGTATAATCTGTCAAAAATTCAGATGTGTTAACTTATGATTGCACACGTTGTCATTTGCGCCCTTAGTAAGGTCATCGTTAAGGGATTTCTGACCACTCAAGTCGTGGGCTCGAATTTTTCGCTAAAATTTGAGATCAGTTTGCGTTATCTTGCTACTTGAACACACTTTCGGGCTTAAACAACGCTGGGGGATACCGTGGTACGCCTAGGTGTCGTGTTAGCTGTCTGCGCCCTCTCCATCCTTCGGTCTTCTTGACTATATCTTAACACCGGGCTCAGATGGGGGAAGAGGAGAGAATACGATAGATGTTGTACAAGTCCACTACCACTGTTATCTAATTTACACACAAGTCACGGTGCTTGCCCCCAGTATGCTATCATCACACGGTGGATGTTGCCGAAACCGACGGTCGAATTATCCTACTACATCGAAAAATTTAAATGAATAAAAATTTTCTTAATTGAATTGATTTAAACGGCTGGAAATGTACTATAGGACTGCAAATACCCCAAACCCATCAGCACTTAAACAGATATTGAAAAACGTTCACTCATCCGCCTGCCGCGACGCATGAGGAGAGACGTATGAGTTCTTTCTGCACGAAAAAATGCGCTAATGGATTAGAAATATCCAAACGGGAACCCACAACACTATACCAAACTTTCCAAGTAAACAGTTAGTACGGTGACGTCTCAAAAGGATACTTCTCCTATATAGGGAAGACTGTGCATAGTTTATGTGGGTCAGTTGGATGAAGCATTAAAGATGATATTGAAGAGGATTGGCCTGGAGACGCGTTCCACTTCAGTACATACAGGTTAAATAAGAAGAAATACTTTTTGTGTATGGTGTGGAAAGTGGTCTTTTAGCCTCTAATTCGACCATCGTCCAGCTGCATAATCCTCAGTTAACAGCGAAACAAGGAGAACCTTTAGAGCACATAAATTCATCGGAAACCAGCAGCTCGAGCCAGGTAACGAGATAAGGGATCTCGGTGAGTGGATGATGCCTACTCCAAAACCAGCATCTAACTGCATATAAATATTAAGAATAATAATACCTATCCTACACACAATCAGGTGATTGTTCTTCTAGGTTTGTGAAGGATTTGTGGTCGAATGTTGGGATAGCGTACTGAGACAAATGACCAAGCCAGTTAGCGGATTATGATGCCTACCTTATAGGGGATACTAGAAATTCTTAAAATATTACCTCCCTGTTATAAAAGATACAGAGGAAATATGGCAATTTTCCATACGTCATCGGGGTATAGACTGCGCCATTGATTTCGGCGGCTTTCATGCAATGGCACAAATGAAAAAACTTCGTGATTAGAGATACAGTCTGAAGGCAAAACATGCCACCATTGAAGTGCGGACGAATAAAACAAATATTTGAAGTCCAGTTTTTTTTATACAGCTTGGGGCGTTAAAAAATTCGACAAATCTTCACTTGGTGGCCACCCGTTCCTCTCCCCTAACACCCTTCTAGATTGCTCAATCAGGCTAAAGCGATTACCCTGGTTTCCTTATTAGTGGAGACACTTGCACACCATAGCTAGGATATTTAGAAGTTTGTGGGTTCCGAGATGCATAATGTAAAATGAGCGATATTTCGGGGACGTTAGTCTCAAACTTTAGTCAATCATTGAACTTAGGGCCGCAGACTGATTTGTTATAGTGACTTGGCACTTCCGCGTCCGCATTTGTTGGTTTGGGGGTGGTCCGGGCATGTCCTTGGGTTCATTTGGCGATCTGGGTAAGGCAGCGGAAGATGTCCTTACGAAGCATTTCAAGAATTCTTTCTGCAATTTTGTCTACAAGTCGAAGACCGAAAATAATGTCGATGTCCACGTCGAATGCAATGGTCACAACTATCAAACCACTGCGTTTGGCGATCTTACCTTCAGGCCTTTTGATGGCATATCCGTAAACACGAAGATTAATGATACCATGAAACTCACCAGCGATATTGAGATATCGGAAAAAATAAGGGGTATGAAACACAATGTAGTGTGTAGTATCGACAAAGCAGGGTAAGCAGCTCTTCCCGCCCATGTATATTCGTGCTTTAGTGAGAAGAACCTCAAACTGAAGAGCTGTTTGAAGCAGGATCACGTGAACTCTGATATTGAAGTGGACTTCGCCTCTAAATTCCCTTGTACCGTCGGATCAATTGTTGTTGGGTAATTTATGCGTCGGACGCTAACTGCTTTAGTGGCAAAGGTTATATGGCTGGTGCCCAACTCTCGGTTGATACTGACGGATTCGAAGTAAAGAAATATGTCTACTCACTGGGTTACATATGCAAAGGATTTGAGTTGCATGGCTTCCTAACCAACCATCAGGACGTCGACATAAAGCTCTTCCAATCCCACAGAGGTGTGGATTACGGCTTCGCCATAGGCTGGGACGGCAGGTCAAAAACCACTTCATTCGGCGCGGCTGTGATGTACAAACCGAATAAGGACACGTTCCTGAAAGCCCGGTTGACTGAACGGTGGGCCTTGGCTTTGGCATATGGAGTAAGATTCATGCCCGGTAATCGCCCTTCGGGATTGTTGATGTGGACCCTATTTCTCATTAACTCTGATTATTCAGTTTTTAAGGTGATTAACCACCTTAAAAAGGTAATTACCCTACACTGCCCCCGAGTCTCTCAGAATTTCGATAAAACTGAAGGAGGGTGATAATGCCTGTGGGATTGTCTATACGTAAGACAACTGTCCGTCTTTTTTTTTTTGGGGGGGGGGAGGGGAACTCTTCCCGGGTAACCTTTGCGCGCTGCTGAGGGGATGGATTGGTCGTCGTTTCTATCTTAGGTATATTCTTTCGGGTCTACCCTCTCTGAACATTCCTATGGGTCAAGGCGCGTTCCCTATAGTCGGACCGAGTTTGGGGCTTGACCTGCATCAACCCGAATAAGCCCAGCTGGCACTTCCTCCATGATCTTTTTTGCTGCCCAATTCCACTTTTGACGCAGTATGGGTAAGGAGCACTGCATTCCCCTTGTCAGCTAATTATGCCATCCCTGGTCGGCGTCCACATCTGCTGATAATTTTAGTCGTTTGTATTTTGTTTGGCCTGTTTTATTTCAAAATTTTCTTCGAACGTTTGCCTGCTGTCTTTATTTCACGCCCATCCAACAACACATGTACATTATGTCTTTTATTTACAATAATGATACCCAGCGTTGTCGTTCGTCTTTACAATGCTTTTGTATATTTTCGAGTTTTCCCCGAAAGTTTCATGGCCAGCATTTTTTTCTCCTTTTTGCTCGCCCCAAACAAAAAAGTAAATATGTAGATTTCGTTTTGGTGTCAATCCGTGACGAAATTCGGAGTTGCTGTCTGCACCTTGATGACCACTAATCTCTGATATTTCGCTTTATTAGCGCTGCATTCAGTTGGCAAGTTCTCTAAACGCTTTTTCCGTTTAAGGAGCTTTGCTGACTGTCTCGGTGGATACGGACACGACCTACAGGGCGACCAATTACGGAATGTGCCTGGAAATTGAGAAGTGACCTGTGATCTCCGCCATGCAGAAGGTTCAGCCGCTTGGCTTCAGTCCTTATCCTCCTGTTGGACAAGTAATTGCTGTGCACCTCATCATCACTGTATACTTTTGTCTTCAAGTGTTTTATTATAGAGGACCTCCAGTGCACATGTGTTTTGGCAATCGCCTCACAAATTTTGATTGGGCCCTGATTCCAAAGTCATGATCTCTAGTTTCAAGTTGTTACAAAAGCCAGAATTATTACCCTGAAGGACCGCGCTCCTGGGACGTTTTGGGTGTCGTGATCGGCAATTGACCATGCCCGGTTTGGGAAGCGTATGCTTGTCGGTTGGATTTTCGGCATTACCGTGCTCTCATGTCTCGACTCATGGTGGAGACTGGCCACTTTGTTATCCACAATGCACTTCTCTCTGGATGTTCACTCGGATTTCAGATAGACGCTTTCTTGGCAGTCTAGACGGCTAGTATTTGGGCGATGAATAGTCTCACTATTGCCCGGACTTCAACGTGGAGGGTGTGGGGCACCTGAGGTTACGTCGTCACAGGAACTTTCATGATCAGCGAAAAAATCGCAGGTCTTGGTGGCAGTACTGTTTGGTAGGTAGATGTCTCGAATAAAGAGGGAGGAGTGCTTATGGCGTAGTTTTGGGAATTCGCCGTCGAACCATTGCATTTGAGACTTGTGCATAACGTCGGTGGGTGTTATCCTGGTGCCGTCCATTTCGTTGCATAATGGATATCCACAGCCATACTTTTTGCCATTGACTTGTCGGATGTCACAGGACAACATGGAAATGAGGTCGGACTAATCTGCAGTAGTAAGCACCGATCGGCAATTACTCTCAGGACGAAACTGGGAGGCATGTCCTTGGTAAGCGTCTGCTACATGACCCGAGCAAACTAACCTGCACACTGAGTCTCTACAATTTGTCGCTGGTGATAACGTCCTGGGAGTCGCCGCGTCCGAACAGCTGTCGAAGTGGGTCTCGCGCGCTATATAGCCAGATCTCGCCACCAATAAATAACTGATTGAGCATTGACGAATTTGGGACCTTCCAGAACTTTATCTGTGAGATATTTGGATGTTTGAGTGACAATCCTCAGAGCGAAGGGCGGTTTGGGGAACATTACTGACATTGACTGGTATTCGGCGACAGGTACGTAACAGATCAGTCTTCAAGAACACACGCTGATCATGCGACGAGAGTGAGACCTTTAACGTGCTGGATGTGGTACTGACCAGGGTGGTCGTCGCGCGGCCGCCAGTCGCCACCTGCGTCTTTTACCAGACTGTCGCAATAATGACGAGCTCAGGCATATGCTGGAATCTCACATTGAAAGTCTTCATGTAGTCTGGAGTAAGAAGACGCTGGCACAGTATTCACAAGGGTCTCTGGCGGATATGTGGCGAAGGACTGTGTGCGCAATTTTTCATTAGTAAAAGTGAAGAGTTCGATGGCGAACTACCTCAGAAAAAAGCGCTTAGAGCAGTTAAAATAGGAATAATAGTAATAGGGATGAGGCATGGATATATCTAAGTTTAGTAGAGGTCCTGGATGTTGTTCCACCGTCCTCAAAATTAACTAGAAGGCCGGAGCTTGCCGTGAAGCCGGATCCTAAGAGGGCGGCAGAAACGTCAACGATTGTGAAAGTCCATAAAAATGTCCACCGAAGGCTCAAGTCAAGCGTGACGGATCACTGACCAGGAGCTGAGATGCTGGAACTGTTAGCAACTGTAAAACAAAGAACTGCTATGCTTGTGGTTGCCAGACCGTAGTAAGACCAAACCAACGTCGGCACCAGAGCCGACGAGAAATTTGGCGTCAACGATACTGTATCAGCGAAAGAAACGTCAGTGTATGAACTGGTAGCGGCTTCAGCATTGGTCGTCATTGCTGCTGCGCCGGGTCGTTTCCCCGCAGCTGCGGGGATGACTTAAATGAGCTCGGCTGCAATAATCGCTGCGCTGCCCATCCGAATTGCCGGGGCTACTAGTGTGCACCCTTCGTAGTCTGTCCGGGACGTGCGCGGGAGCCCACGGCAATCTGCTAACGTCTCTAATGGTAACGGCATTTATGGGGCACAGAAGTATGGACCATGGACTTGAACTAAATTGCAGATGAATTAGGGTCTCAGCTATGAGGGTAAGGGTTATGGTTAAGGTAAGGACATGGTAATAGGTTCAACCCTGAAATTTAGCGCAAGGGCATCTGTAGTACGGAGAGATCTGCATTCCCGTGTCCAACCACTGCATTGACTTGGCTACCAGTTACGTAACTTACCGCTCCCGTCGGGCCAGACCTAGGTCAGATCGCTAAGGAGTCGGACTGACGATGACTGATGACATGAGTCATAGCTGTTCCTAGTCCTATGGACTTGGCAAGCTCTGGCAGATCTTCATGGCTTGCTAGCGAGAGTGCCAGAATCGTCTCGACTTCGAGTGGCAAACTTTGCAAGAGGGTTACAAAGAATTGAGGTGTCGAAGTCTAGTTCGCCAACAAGCCATTGCATCCGCCTCAGAGGCTTTGGTGGTTTCCGGTCACTAATGTTCCCACATTATCCGGTCTTGGTACCGCGCTGGAAGTTGCTGTGCCGACGCCAAATATCTGCGGGGTTGTCGACCATCTCAAGAACAGTAAGTCAATGCATTGGAACTACCACAGACTTCCAAAATATCGGGCTTGTAAGTACTACCGACATCCGAGTCTTGTTTCATAGACGTCGCCACTGTAGGTAACACTTCTTCTGGGGTTGATGGAAGTGGCCAGGTTAGAATCGATCTCCGGTTGTGTGCGTGGACGGTTGCAGTACTTCAGCGATTCCAGGCACTTCAAAGCTACTGGTCGGCCTGGGAGTACTTTCAGTTTCCTTGCTGACAGCAATTCGAAATTGATCATTGACCGTGGCCGTCCTGATTTGTGATTTACAGCGAGACCCCATTTCTGTGCTGGCAGCCCGGTTGTCTTGCACTGTCGTAACATCAGCTGCTTATCCATTATACGTGGTATGTGTCCTATGACACAGCGTTCGTTATCGCCAATAGCAAGCTGGCAGGCGGACAGAATGGGATTGAGTGAGGTCCTAACCACAACAATGAGGGTTACACGCCTGCTTTACGTGCATGCATGCACATATTTCGAAGAAAAATGAGTCATTTGGGAAATCGGACAAACTGTATTTCGGAAATTTTCGACGCTGGTTCCCCAGGTCGTCGTCAGACTTGTAGAAAATGTGACAAACAGTTAAAATTTGAAAATGCCCGAAAGATCGATATTGCGCTGTCAGTGCTGAGGATGGGTCGATGCCGTGGGCTGACGTTAGGTTTTGGTTGGCTATGACCTTTTCCACTTTTCCTTACATTAAAATGTGTCTGAACTCATTGAAAGACACATGAGGAAGCACCAAATACAAATGGCGCACAAACCGGCGTCTACGCTACGCAATTAGCTTGTACACCCTGAGGATAGGGCTGGCTATTTGGATAAAAAAGCAGTCTATAAGATTCCGTGCGGCAATTGTAACGCGGTATATTGTGGTCAAACCGGGAAATTCGCCTTCACGCGTCAATATGAACGCCAGTTGGCAGAAAGGAGGCGGGACCACTTACCCCAAGTCGCTTTACAAATCGGACACAAGTTTGCTTGGGATAAAACACGCATTGTCGGTTCCTGTCCGTATAAGTAAGGCTGAGAATTTATAGGGGCCATTTACTCCCATGACTCATGCATCAAGCGGCGCATCGATCTGGACGCCATTTACACAAATCTCCGAGAAAAATGGAAAAGTTGATAGCCAATCAGAACCTAACTTCAGCCCACAGCATCGACCCCTTCTCAGCACTGACAGCGCAATATCGATTTTTCAAGCATATTCAAATTTTAACTGTTTGTCACACTTTCTACAGGTCTGACGACGACATGGGGAACCAGCGTCGAAAATTTCCGAAATACAGTTTGTCCGATTTCCCAAATGACTCATTTTTCTTCGAAATATGTGCATGCATGCAAGTAAAGCAGGCTTGTAACCCTCATTGTTGTGGTTAGGACCTCACTCAATCCCATTCTGTCCGCCTGCCAGCTTGCTATTGGCGATAACGAACGCTGTGTCATAGGACACATACCACATATAATGGATAAGCAGCTCGCAAAAAGTGCAACAGGTCAGACGTAGACAGTTGTTTCGTGGTCTTTACCGATCATCAGTGCGTTATAGGCCTCATGAAGCGAGGTATAAAGGCATGTCATGTAGGCGTGTGACCCTCACTGTTGTGATTGGGATCTCACTCAATCCTGTTAACTTCAAGTGGCCTATGGTGTTCTGATGATCGGTAACGAGCATGAAACAGCTGTCTTCGTCTGTTCTGTTGCATTCTTAGCCAGCTTCTTTTATAATATATATGTATATATTTATTTTGATAGAAGGACGTTCACCGACCATCTTATGAAACTCACACTCTCCGTTGTGCATTGGGGCCTTGTATCGAGCCCGCCAGCAGCCACACAGCTGCGCGTAATATAGACAATAATATTGCCGAACAAGACAAAAGAGACTGAAATGGGGATTCCTGGCTCATTAGCCGTCGTCAGCCAGTCACACCCAATCCCAAGGTGTGGAACACCTGGGGCTCGATCTCGCGAACTGTTGGTTCGAAGTCCAGCGCCCCTTGCCACTGAGCCACGGGCTCGTTGTCCTGTCCGTTTCGATCAGGAATATACAGTGGTAGAGGGACGCTCATCGACCTTGTCACGGAACTCGCTCGTCTAGTTGTGTCTTAGGGCTCCCTCTCAATGTTTAATAAAAACCAGAAATAGCCATTCCAATCTCCCTTGTCTTTGTCGGTAATATTACTCTGCTATATTACGTGCTGCTGTGCGACTGCTGGTCGGGCTCGAGGACGAGAGCCTTAAGGCACAACCGGATTGGTAAGTTCCGTAACACGAACGATGAACGCCTCATCTACCACCACATATCACAACATTGTGTAATCTATAAATTGATTTCGGAAGC